TTTGGAAGAGGATGATAAAAAAACCCAAAAAAAAAAAAAAAACAACTTCATTTCAAGAGGTGTTGCGAAGGAAGTCATAGAATGAATCCCAATCAGCATGTTAGTAACATATTATGTTGGTAAGAAGTTCTTGCCTGATGGGAGAACGCAAAGAGATGTTTACAGATACTACCACATGACATGATCTCTTCTTTACCTCTGCCCCTAAATCAAGAGAAGTGTGTCCATCACTATTACTGGGAAAATGTTTGTGAAAGTCCACCACTTGTGTAAGAGATTGAGAAGAAGTTTGAGGTTTGGATGCCAGTTAGGTCAGAAGACGACACACAAGGTCCATCACACCCCTCCTTCCTGTGAAGGAAGGAGTCAAAATCAGCAGAGTACCACTGAGGAGTCAGTACTGAACAAGGGTATCAAGTTCACAACAACTATCAAGCAGAAACTAGATTTAGACATAGCCTTGAACAATCACCCATTTCCTCAATTGGTGCTAAGATGGAAAGTGAGACAGATCCTGGTAAAAGCCAAGTCGCCTAAAATCAATCACAAAACTGGGGAGTCTGTCAATCAGAACACTACAGAGGAATGAAGACATAGTCACATTGCCTTTGTCAGCTGGTAGTATCGTGATGAACAAAGAAAACTGGAAGACCTCATTAGAAAATGATAGCCATAGTAAAGGAAAGAATCCAACAATGAAAACAGAAAGAAAACTGTTGCAGATCCTAATCAAGAACAAGGACCACTTTACACCTAAGACATACAGGCAGTTGTTGCAGCATAATTTAAGCTACCTCACATATACAGTCTCCCCCAAATTCACAAAGACGGTATTCCTCTCAGGCCAATTGTTAGCTGCCAAGTCTGTGTGCCACCCTCTGCATCACTTCATTGTGGGCCTATTAATAGGAAAGTTATCCTATGTTCAAAACTCTTCCCATTTTGTGGGAATAATAAAAAAAATGCTCCCATCCAATTCAACCAGATGGTGAGGGTTCTCCAAGGTACCCACAAAAAGAGGCACTATCAGTAGTCAGGGACAGACTGACCTTGGAACATCTCAGTATATGACTAGATAACCTTTGGAAATGCTGGCTTCCTGTACACAAGCATACTTCAGAATGGGGCCCAGACATTAGAATCGGTACCACTAAAGCCAGCGAACGAACAACAGACATGCATTCCTGGATGTACTCGAACAGAGCATGATTCAAGACATCTGCATACTGCAAGCCAACATTCACTAGACAATATCTCATCTTTGACTCCCACCACCCACACAGTGTAAGGAAAGGGGTCATCTACTGCCTACAACATTGAGCAAAAGTCATAAGTGGTGATGCAGAGACATATAAGCAAGAAATTGTTAGTGTAAACAATACCCTACAATGTAACAGTTTATCTGGGTTTCATGACAGCAGTCTCCACAAACTGGGATAGAAGGGTACAAGATGATAACACTCAAAAAACTGTCTTAGTCTGCCTACCCTATGTGAAGGGCTTATAGGAAAAGGATACAAAACATCTGAGGTCCTTATAACATCAGGACAACTTTCAGGGATGGTTCAACACTACGCAGAGATCTCTTCCAAGTAAGACTACCTATAGAGGATAACATGATTAAGAACTGTGCAGCTCTGGCAAGAAATATAAAAAAAACAGGCCACCTGCTAGAGGTAAGACTGCAGAAAAACTAACAAGAAAAGAAATAGAAAAATCAGAGTCAGACAGATTTAAAAAAAAAAAAAAAAAAAAAAAAAAGGCACGTTACGTCTCGGACTAAAAGGCTTCGGTTTGAAATTCCACCTGACGATGGCCAGAGCGTACAATGGCGAAAACATCATGAATATAACAGTAAAGCTGTCCGAACTATGTTAAATAGTATTAACACAGTGTAACAAAAAAAAAAAAAAAAAAAAAAAAAGATAACTTAGAAAACTTTCTCATAGGGATCGTATGAAAAAGTTTTCTAAGTTGCCTCCTCGATGTACTTTTTTTTTTTTTTTTTTTTTTTTTTTATATATACTCTACAAAGTTCTTCCACATCTAGAGTAGCAGCCACCCAAGGCATAAGAGCCCAAAGTTTGGATGAATTATATTATTGCAATGAGAAAAGTAGGAAATAAAAGACTGAACGTGTTTGTGACATAAACAAAAAGTATTTCCTGCCTGGAAAAAAAGAAAAGAAAATAGCTATATTTAAAAAAAAAAAAAAAAAAAAAAAGCATCTCCAGCAATGAGTGATGAAAGATAAATAAATGAAGTCAGTCACCAAGCAAATACCAACTGGTCACACAAAAATCAGTCTTTAAAAAAAAAAAAAAAAAAATGAGGCAAATGTATCCTTAATTTTCCTTGAACCGTAACAGTATCTTCATTTTTATTTCATAATATACAAAGCATAGGAGAGAAAACAAATTGCTTGACTTTCAAAATTTGAAAGTAAACATTTATGGAATTTTTTTTTTTTTTTAATCTAACAAATGAAAACCAGCTTGTAACAATAACATCAGATGAACCATACACAGTTTGTATTATTTAACTGATATAATCAAGTTAATTTGTATTATAAAGCATTTCTACTCAATTGTTGACAACACTCCCTCCCATGAAAGGATGTGTCATTGAACAATCCTTTCTTCTTACAATATGAAGGAGAAAAAAAAAAAAAAAAAAAAAAAAACGAGCATACTGAATGTAGTTTTATTTTGTGCAGAAAATTGCTTCAAAAAATAAATATCTGCTTACCATATTTACTTTTGGAAAGTCAATTACAAAAGCAGAAAAGTATTCCATCAGAATTTTTTTTCTATTATCACTGGACAAAGATCAATGGTCAAATTATTTACAAAAATTAAAGTATTTTTTTTTTTTTTTTTTTTATTCCTACTCAACCATTTTCTATAAAATGGTTTCATTTTAGTAACTAAGTACTATCTTATTGCTTATTCCAATGAATTAGTATTGGACATGCATTGAAAAAAAAAAAAAAAAAAAGTTAACCTTGTGCTACAAACATTATGGAAGTGAAATTCATAGCCTAATAATTTTTACTTTTAACATCTGTCAAGAAATAAAACTTCTTAGTCTTCAAATGCATAAGAAAGTTACTTAAAAAAAATTGGTGGAGCCAAAAATTCTTTACAAAAGAATTTCCCCCCCCCAATTCAGAAAAGGGGCACTGCCTTTACAGATGTTATTTTCTACAGAGTATTTAGAACAGTTTAGAATTTAAGAATTCTATGATGGTCATAGAATTCTTAAATTAAAAAAAACGGTAATTTATTTTGTAACTTATATATAAAAAGTTGCTTGAAGGAAAATGCTACAAAAATTATTTTATTTATAGCAGGAAACCATTTATATCAACACTACAGTTATGTTTATTTTGAATATAAAAATATTTTTTAATAAATGAAATATTTGTTGGGACTTCATCTTTTAAAAAAAAAACAAAAACAAAACACAAACAGCTCTTGACAAAGATGGGGTGGTTGAACTTTCAAATTCAAGAATCCAAAAATATATTGCGTAGAATCAGTGCCAACTGCTTTTTTTTTTTTTTGTTTTTTTTTTTCATTTCTTTTTTTTTTTTTTTAAACACTTCATGACGAAGAACGTTGGAGTTTCAACAAGATTTAAATAATTTAAAGATTTTATAATTTTAAGAAAAAATTTAAAAATTCAATAATATTCAATACAAGTCTAACAAAACATCAAAAAGGGAATGTTAAAAAAAAAAAAAAAAAAAAGTTTTAATTTTTTTTCAAAATACACCCACAAACAATTTCATAGCAAGTTGACTCTTCAAAAATAGACCGGGATTTCTTGTAAAATTTGTTACACAAAATAAAAAAAATAAAAAATTTAAGCATTTCTTTAAGGAAGACATTTTTTTTTAAACCCCAAACATGGATAATGTTTAAAATTCAGCTCCAATAACAAATACGGATTTAATAGGTTATCAGATTTACTAATTTAATTAGGAGGTGGGGGAGCTTTCTTTAGAAAAATTCCCCTTAACAGATAAAATTTTAAAAAAATAAACAAACATTGATTATCTATTAAAGCTTTCATGGTAATATTTTGAAACTTAAGAAATGAAAAAAAATATTAAATAGAGTTTCTTTCTAAGTTTTAAAGAAAACAACTTTATACGTAACAAAGTATATCTCATATGGGACAAGGTGGTTGGGGGGGGACAATCAGGGGAAGCAACTCATGAAGCATTAAATTTCAAGCTACAGATTTCGCTCCCTTTACACGGTAATTAAATAAATAAACTAATTGCAAGTTACAATTTTCAGTTTGACAAAACGGAATTGACAGCCACTTAGAATTTTAATGGAAGATAAGGACAGTGTGAATAGTAGCATTTACACGCCCACACAAGAGTAAACTCTGGTTACTTTATAAAAGGGAGAAAAGTCTGTTAAAAGGACAACACCACAGTGAAACCAGCCAAGGGTCTTCAATGAAGTTATTTTTGTTTTTTCCCTTTATCATAGGCATACATTGAAATACATAGTAAATTCTCAAGAAAATTGTTGAATGCTTCACACTAAATTGACTGCACAAATGTTACAACTTGAGCTGAACAGTTATGTTAGGGTGTAATGATCCTGTCAAAGACCCCCATCATGTTAATGAACCATTTTAAATACAAAAAGAGCAGGTTTACAAGAGAATATAGTTGTCCAGAATTCTACAAAGTTTCAGTACATCAGAAATTGATGGTTGTCTACAAAGCAAGAAAATGTAAAGCAAATGAAGTTGAAGGAAACAAAAGTTGATGTAAGATGATTATGAAACTATTGCTTATACGTTGCTGTCTGCATCCAGGAGAAAATGGAGTTGCGACTTTTATTGTCTGAATAGAATGAGAAGCAAAACAGAAAAGTGATAGTATTTGGGGTTTGAATAAAATTCATTTTCAATGAATTTCCACTTTTCTTTGGAAAAGTGACAGACACAAAAGGGGATATGTGACTGCAGCTGCTTCACTTGACAACTTCATCCATGATGACTTTTGATGCAAAGGCAACAGAGAAAGCGAGTACGACTCCAACAATTGCATTGTAAGTCAGGGCAAAATTGAACACCTGAAAAAGATTATACATTTAGAAAGCGTAAAATTGTTGGCTGTTTTGGGGGCTTGTGAAAACTTTCTATCAAGTTAGAAGCACAAATTTTGAAATGTGAAGAGTTTCCATATTAACTATTTCTTAAATGTAAAAGCAGTTAAATACAGTTATAAGGTCTTAAAATTAGATATTTAAATTGGACAGAAGGAGACCATCTCTTTAGACAAGATAAACAAATTTTCAAAGTTGAATGTATGAAAATTATAGTATTTGATAAAAGTTTTAATAAAATTTAAAAAAACAAAGAAAAAACAATTCATGAAATTGTCACTGAAAACAGAAAGAAACAAATTTAGCATTTTAGAGAATTGTTTGCAAAATAATTCCAAATCATACTTACAGTCATTTGCAGAGGTTGTTGGTTGAGGAAAAGAAGTAAAAATATCCTCTCTTCAGTTGGACAAATGCACTAAAAAAAAAAAAAAAAAAAAAAAAAAAAACTGTCTGCAACTTAAAACAAGATTGTGGCTATATATATAAAATCTTTAAACGCATCCAAAAGTGTTGATTAAATTTAAAGTTAATTTAATATCCATCAGAATGGAAATGACTAATGAAGTGTCAAAGATTAGCCAAATTCTGTATACATTCACAAGCACAAAAAAAAAAAAAAAAAACACAAAAAAAAAAACAACAACAACAACAACAACACACTCCCCCTCCCCTGCCACAATAAAATTTCAACAGTTCAGTTGTATGTCCCAGAATAGTAGATATATTTATTGTAAGACTTCTTTGCAAATAGAATGAATATTCTGACAGATAATTTGGAGTTGCAAATTCAACATTCATATCAGGACAAAAAAAAAAAAATTTCCATTCATAAGATTTTGTAAAAGACAAAAGATGAATTTTCCCAAGTTTTTATTCTCAGAGGAACTCGATTAGGGGTTAAAAAAAAAAACAAAAAAAAAAAACGTAATTTATTTTGTAACTTATTTATATATAAAAGTTGAATGAAAAATAGTCAAGCTTTCCTATTGTCTTATTTATATTGTCTTGACAGATATTTTATTTATATGTGAATTTTCTCAGACACACACAAAAATTGAAAATAATTATGGCAATCATTCAACTAAATAAAAAAAAAAAAAAAAAAAAAAAAAAAAAAAAAAAAAAAAAAAAAGAAAAAAGGTCCTTTTGGAAAGCAAACAGCAATTTGGCTCAAATGACAAAAGTTGCTGCGTAATTCTTACCCGGATCATCCTCTGTCCCTCAGCATTGGCTTCGGCAAAGGCTGAAGAAATGAGCAATAGTAATAGTAAAGGAAGAATGAATTCCACAATTCCTGGCAATGTAGCTTTATTGGACATCCAGAAAATGATGTAGTTTCCACACCAAACAACAATGAAAACAATCCAACTGGCTAACCAACGTTGCAAGTTGAGAGAAGTTACTCTCATACGCCACTGAAACATTAGAAAAGGGGGGTTAAAAAAAAAAAAAAAAAAAAAAAATTATATATATGTGTGTGTTTTTTGAGTGAAGAAAACATGTTTACACGTTCCATATTAGTTGATTTAAAACAGTGCTCGATAGAGTAACCTAGAGCTTTATAAATACAAATATAGGTAACTATACTCATTTCGAAAAACCCTCAAATTTTTGATTTGCCAATAATCAAATCAATCGAGGGAAAAAAGGTTTAAAAATAAAAAAAAAAAATAAAAAATATCGCACAGATACAGGTTTGAAGCACAAAGAAAAAACCCCGATACAAGTAAACAACTAACAAAAGAGCTCAATACAACCATAGAGCAGACCTAGATAAAACTAGTGAGCCAGACAAACCTACCCAGGTTTCACCTAAGTGGATCGTCATATATATATATTATTGGACTGATGTGAGTTTGTGACCCTGGGTTTCACGCTATTTGCAATCATCAGACAAACTGATTAATTTTTAAATTTGATTTATATATGGTTGCGTAGTGTTTTTATGGAAGTGGGAGGAAAAATTGTCGTTGGGACATCACTCATACTTATGCAAACATACATATATACACACACATGCACTCATTGACATATGCAGACACACACATACACGCTCACCAGAGATCACACAAACAAACATGTGAGCAGTGTGGGACTGGGCATATATGTGTTGTTGTGCACATACGTATGCAATTGGTCGCTGTATTGTATAGTGAATATGACAAACATAGTTAGAAACTTGAAGTTCAGAAAACACTTGGACAATTTCCAGAAGAAAATTGTAGAAGACGAGAAAAAAAAAATAATGAGCTCCAATAAGGTATTCATATTGGCTGACAAGACTACGAACATACACACAATGGAACCCACAGCCTACAATAAACTCATCACTAACAACATCACACAATTATACAAGACAACCACAAAAAAAAAAAAAAAAAAAAAGATAAACCAAGAAGCTAAAGATATAGCCGTCAAATTAAAAATAGATGAAAGAATAAACCACATAGGTGAACAACAAGCTTTCATGACAGCAAAAGACCACAAAACCAACTTTGGGAGAAAAAAAAAACAAAAAAAACAACATTCTGCCTAATCAACCCTGCGAAAAGAAAAATAGGAAAAAAAAAAAAAATCAGCAAAAGCATATTAGAAACTATCAACACCAACCTAAGGGAAAAATTAGGTTTTAACCAATGGAAAAAAAAAACAAAAAAAAAAACAGCAAAGCTGTCAGACTGGTTTACTGCAATAAATAAAAAGAGCTACTTTCATCCAATTTGACAGTGGATTTCTACCCATCCATCATGGAAAACATTGAATGATGCTATACAACTAGCACAACATGTAAAAATTATGGCCGGAGATATTAAAATAATCAAACACTGCCGTAAATCTGTTTCACAATAATGAACCATGGGCAAAATTCAAAATCATGACCTATTTGATGTAACAATGGGTAGCTACAATGGAGTTGGGACGTGAATTAGTAGGCATACTCATCCTCTCGTATCTAGCCAGGATCCTAGAGAAAAACGACAGTCTATATAGAGATGATGGACTTATCCTGATAATAGAATCCAATGGCCCCAAATTAGACAGATTTAGGAAAAATAAAAAATAATAAAAATAAAAAACACCCTAAAAAAGCATTGGATTTAAAATAGAAATAAATGCAGATACAATAACAGTAAACTTCTTAGATGTCAATCTCAACCTGAACAATACAAACTGTACAAAGAAAAAAAAAAAAAAAAAAAAAAAATACCCACATCAATCAGCCACAGACTATCTGAAAACTCATCCAACAGATATTTTTTTCAATAACTAAAAAAAAAAAAAAAAAACACACACACCATATGAAAAAGAAAGTGGATACACACAACTACAATCCACACCACAACTGAAACAAAAACAGAAAAAGAAATATTATCTGGTTTAACCCACCATACAACAAAGCTGTCAAACATAGGAAGGACAGTCCTAAACTTAATAGAAAAGCACTTCCCTGAAACAAACAGATTAACAAAAATAACGTTAAAATCAGTTACAAAAAATATAACACAAATAATAAAAAGCCACAACAAAAAAAATAACAACCTACAATAATGCAATCAAGGAACTTCAATGCACCTGCAGAAATAAGACATGTGCACTCCAAGGAAATTGCCAACAAATGAATATATAAAGCCAAGGTAAGTGCAAACAGCACAATGTACTACATCAATGCCACCGAGGGACCATTCAAGAAGAGAAAAGACAAACACAACCTTTCATTCTCCAACAGAAAATACTCAAACAGCACTACACTATCCACATACATATGGCATTTAAAAGACAGAAATATTACACCAAGAATAAGCTGGAAAATATTGATAAAACCACCTATCTACAACAACATTACAAGGAAATGCCTACTTTGCCTACACAAAAAGGTAGCAATATTTTCTTATACCCAACAGAAGAATTTACTAAATATAAGATCAGAAATAATTTCCAAATGCAGGCATGAAAATAAATACCTATTATAAGAATTTATGCCAAACAGATAAAAAAATAAAAAATAAATAAATACCAACACTACTACATAAACCACCACTGGCCCTATAAACATGAAAAGCAAAACCACTGACAGTATAACACCAATTATTTTCTAGTTCAAACTACCATCATAATTACAATTATTGTTATCATCCCACCACTATTACTATGATCACTTCTACCACTTTACAATAACTATTTGCTGCTATAATTGTTATTACCATCACATGCTTCCCCATCACTATCACAATTACCATTACCATATCAGTCCACAATTATACTTCTCCCTCCCCCAGCAAAATTAATACCACTACATAAATACTAATAAGTATTACAAATTGGAACTTCTATTTACATATGTGCAATCACCAAAAACAAGCAAATAACCGGCTTTAACAAAACAGCCTTAAAAAATTAAAAATAATAGCAATTTTTACCTATCATAGTCTTACACAGACCCCATCACATGTATATACATGCATGCGAGAAAACATTCAGTGAACAAAAATAGAAAAATGATCTTCGTGTTGACAGCACAACAGACAAAAAATATTCATACGCAATCCAACATTGAGCACAGCGACCAAATGCGTACAACACATATGCGCATATATGCCCAGTCCCACACTGTTCACATATGTTTATGCTTGTGTGAACCCTGGTGAGTGAGTGAGCGTGCATGTGTGTGAGCCTGCGTACATCAGTGAGTGTACATGCATGTAGTATGAGTGTCATCCCGACAATTTTTCCTCCCACTTCCATAAAAACACCGATATACGCAACCATATATAAATCCAAAATTTTAAAATTAATCAATTTGTTTGACCTTCGCAAATAGTATGAAACCCAGGGTCACAAACTCACATCAATACAATATATTAGCTCTATCACTGATATTGTGTGCTTTTCCAATAAGTACCACACATATACAATTGCATATATATTTATATACACATTTCACACACACACACACACACACACACACATTTAAAGACATTTTTATGTTTAACATTCTTTTTATAGATACAAGTATTTAAGTAAATACTCCGTTTATAATAAACAGTATTATATAACATTTATAAACTTCAATTTTCTATGAATCTCTCGCGTACATTCATAACTGCTCATGGCATATCAAATGTTTATAAGCAGTAAATTCAACCTGGCCGAGCGGTAACGCACGTCAGGCTATATGACAGTTCCTTATAGGATACAGGTTCAAATCCTGTTGAAGGACGAATATTTTCTATGAAAATTTCTGACATTCAGGCCAGTAAATGTTATTTAATACTGTTTATTATAAACAGAGCATTTACTTAAATACTTGTATCTATAAAAAGAATGTTAAACATAAAAGTGTCTTTAAATAATTGTCCATTTCATAATCTTACTTATTATAAAACGCAGATTGTGTGTGTGTGTGTGTGTGTGTGTGTGTGTGTGTGTGTGTGTGTGTGTTTATATATTGGATCGGATTTCCTACATTTTTTCAACAGATTTCAACAAAACTTCACAGGACTACGTAAAATTACCTTGCGGTGGTTCTGACATCGCCAAAAATTGGAAAAACAATTGTTTTTGCACGAAATCAATTTGAAAACACGATTAAGAGGCATTAATGAAAGGGGGACACCTCATATCAAGTTATACTTATTAATATCGAGTTATACTTATTATAAAACCCAGGTTGGTTGTGTGTGTGTGTGTGTGTGTGTGTGTGTGTGTGTGTGTGTGTATTTGTTCGTTTATATATGGGATCGGTTTTCCTACATTTTTCAACTGATTTCAACAAAACTTCACTTTTTTTTTTTGGCAGGTACTGTTTCTTATTGTCTCGCACACTTTCTTTATTTTTACATTCAGAATGCTTTAAAAATTCCATTTACAAGACGATTGTTTATAATAAAATTCTATTCAATTGGTAGACTCATAATGATTGAAAACAATGTTTTTGTTTGAGTTTGACCAATGTAAAAAAAAAAAAAAAAAAAAAAAAAAAAAAAAACTAATTAAGACATGCGTGTCCATCAACCTTAAACAATAATCTTTGTCAATTTTATTTTTCAGTCTTTATGATGGTCAATACTTGATCTATCTCTTACTGTTAACATCCCCGGGCAATGCTGGGCTCTACTGCTAGTATATAATAAAAATTTAAAAATGCAGAGGCAATATGATGTCGAAAGAAAGTTATTAACAGATTAAAGATTTCATTGCTTGTAAAAGAGTTTCAGTTTCATCAGCCAATGACAAATAAAATTTACTATTTCAAGAGTTATTCGGATTGACTTTGTTTCACCTGATGTTTCACCTTCTTCAGATGGATATATGGAAAATGAAGTGAGGCTAATAAGCATCAAAACAATATATTTCTCAACCTGAGCAACACAGGCAATTCTATTATGAAACTTTTACAACAAATCTATTTTAGTCAGTCAAAGGAAAGGATATCTGTGCTATAAGCTCTTATTATATATATATATATATATATATATATATATATATATATATATATATATCCAGGAATCAGTCACTGTAGAACCAATAATAGCCCTGGCTTAAAACTACACCAGAAATACACAGGTCTTTCACTCTACAAGAATAGAGACTTTTCTTGCAAAACACTGAAATTTTTTAAAACTTATGTCTCTGAAAATCATATCTCATGACAGGCAATTCTAGATTTTGTATACTCTCTCAAATTCTTTCCATATAAAGCAGGAGAAAATTGAATAAAAAACAAAAGAGAAAATTGAATAAAAAAACAAAAGAAAAAAAACTAACCATTCTAGATTCAAATACCTTTTAACCACTACATTTCAAGTTTTACAAGAGTTGGAAACAATTACAAAACTATTTTCAACAGAGATATGACAAAATGACTGAAGATTTGTGCCCTAAATAATCAGATTCTATGACTAAATTGGTTAATGTACTCTGTCCACAAGACAAGGATATGGAAGATAAAGTCTTATCAGAAGTCTCATCAAAAAGCTGCTTATTATTTTGACCACTCAGCTATAAATAACTTCAAAATCAAACGAGCGATTGATTTTCCCTTTAAAATGCATTTTACTTAGAGCATAGCATGATGAAAAAGACGCCAAACTTAAAAACAAAGTTTATCGTCTAAATGCTTATTATTAAGAGGAAAGATCAAAGTATTTTTGGGGTATTTTTTTTTACATTTATTTTTTTAATCGTTCCTAGCACGTCCAAAATTTGTTAATCTTTTTTTTTTCTTTTGAGTCAGCAAAATTGACAGATGGCCGCCATTTTTTTTGATTTTAAAAAAAAAAAAAAAAAAATCTGTTTGAAATTCTATTAAATATCAATTATTTTTTCAAAACTTATTTTCAGAAAATCAGAAATTATGTTTATTTGAAATATTTTGAACCAAGCTTAACTTAGCTTCTGCGCCAAAAAGGTGTAATTTGAAAATAAAACAAAGCAGGTCAAACTTGTGTCACTTGACAGGTGATGAAAGACATTGACGGATTCCACAAGGATAATTTGTTCCACGGAAAGAGAAAAGTGAAATTATTTACATTTAAGTGAACAAATTATTTACCTCGTTATTTTTAATTAAAACTTTCAGCGCTCTATTTTTTTTTTTTTTTTGTACTTAGCTTTCACCTTTATGTTTACGATGCTTTATGGAAAATATATTATAAAGAAATTAAAATAAGACTTAAGAGCAAGATTAAATTTCATAAGAAAGGTATCTAGTTATAAACTAACTAGATACCTTTCTTATGAATTTTAGCAGAAATGTACATAAAATACTATAATTTTATGTACATTTACAACATTTTACTGTGTTATTTGTATTTCCATTTATTTTAATATTAATTTTGATATTTCATTTATGGAAAAAATGCCATAACTGAGATTAATATAAAAATAAGATCATATAAATTTCATAAGATGATACGGATACTTGTACGTACCCTTCTCAGTTGAAAAATCGAATAAATTTCTCCACACGTGTTTCACAAAAGTAAAGGCCTTAACAGTGGAGAACAATGCTTAACTCAAATAATGCAACTTAATTGTATTCTGGTTGGTCTTCCATACTTTATAATTACAGCCCGATTATAAACACAAAATTACATTTCTTAATTACTGCGGGTCTTCTGATTAGTCAAAACGATACAATTTATAACTTGCTAAAAAAAAAAAAAAAAAAAAAAAAAAAAATCTATCTCATAAGGACACTTACAAAAGCAGATTTTAACTAATTTTATATTTTAACAACTTAAATGTAAAAATCTATTATAATTAAAAAATAAATGATTGTATTAAAAATTCATTTTTCATCGAAAAATTTTTTTGCTTTCAGAAAACATTCTATATTCATAAAAACAACTAAAAGCAATTAAAAACTTTTGAAATTAAATAATATTTTTGTTTTATTGAGTTTTGTATGTTACAATTCAGAGCTGATTTTCAGGTAGGGGGTCCAATTAAAAACAAAAAAAAGAAAAACATGATTTGCATTCCTCAAAGCCTTGTCTTTTTAACTATTGTAATTACTAAAGTGGACTCGATCAAATTTTTAGAGTTTTCATAAAATTAGTTATGGGGGTGGTAATAAATATAAAAAAAAATATTTCTGCCATGACTTTAATAAAAGAAAACACATTTATAGTAATTTCAATTATCTGTGAATAGTTTCTGAAATTTTCATTAACATCCGACAATTATTTTTATTTTCGCAAGATTTTCCAAATTAATGTGCGTCATAAAAAAAAAAAAAGTGCTAAAAATTGTATGTGTTATTTTACTAGTTCTGGTGATAGAAAGAGAAACAAGGATTTTTAAATGAAAATTCAGATTGTTCTAAAAACAAGGAAAAATTTTTTAAAATAATTCAAGCAAACTTTGATCTTTCCTGTTAATAATAAACATTTAGACGATAAAATTTTATTTTCGTCAAGTTTGGCATCTTTCACCATGCTATGCTTTTTTTTTTTTAGTGATCTCGTGGAGGTACCTAATTTTAGTCCTTCAGATTTTCTAAAGTTGTCTCAGTGGCTGAGTTTTATTTTGAATGATGCGTCCAATATTTCTAAATATTACAGCAGCATACTTGTCCATATTTGCAATTCAGAAGAATTCTTGTTGAAAATACGTCAATACTTTTTCTTGAAAATAAACTAAAAATTCTTGAACCTATCAATATTAAAAAATTGAAACCAAACCTTAAATTAATTATGAATATTGCACAAATGTTTTAAAATGTTTACAGTAGATAGTACAAACCTTGATATTTAAGTTAACAGTTTTCAATACTTATTTAACAAAAAAAAAAAATAAAAAAATAAAAATAAAAATAAAGCAAACCTTGAAATCAACTTCGTTACTCCTGGAGTGTTCAGTCAGTTATGTACCATGCGTGATACACGCTTAGGCGATCATGTCTCTTTCTATACATGACTGATGAGCAGCTATCCATTACTCCACCATGCCCTCCCTGGAGGCCTTACTCAAGCTAATTGCACAGCACTAAACTCAGCATTCTTCACAAGTAAAAAGTTTTAACTTTCAGATTAACAAAGCAACAATTTTGTCTTTGAAAATTATGAACACTACAATAGTTGTCTTGGTGGGGAAAAATAAAAAATAAAAAACCACAACTGATGATGTCATTGTGCTAATGTTGAAAGTACTCATAATAAATAATATGCATCAACATGGTAATTTTCTTTCTTTCTTATAATAAAGACACCAAAAATCTTCTCCGTAAATATGAAAGAATCCAATTGGAAATAAGTAAACAAAACTTGTCTAAATTATTCAATGAAATATGCCTCTCTCTCATTATATATATATATATATATATATATATATATATATATATATAAAAAATAATGCCAGCATTCCCCAAATTTGGGCCAGATTTTATTTGCAATGCCTTAAATAACAAAGAACCAAACCATTTTAGGAGAATAAAGGAAACTGAAAATGTCATACACTCCATAATTTTGAAGAAAAAAAAAAAAAAAAAAAATACTTAAGTTTGACGAGTCAAAACAAAAATGGCAGAAGTGGAGAAGAGTTAAGGGTTAAGAAGCTGGTCTTAAAAATCAATATCTCAAAATTGTCAGTAAGAAATACATTGCAGCTACTTTAGACATTAAAATTTCAAAAATTTTCACAGAAATTACTCACAGATATTTTCCAATAAGAAAGAAGAATATCGTTGTTAGACATAATCAGAGGCTCTTCAACCTTTGATGAAACTGAATTTGACAAACGTTTGCGGACAGAAGTAATCTGAAAAGAGATTAAAATAAATTATTTGCTTAAAAAAAAGAAAAGACATTAAAAAGGTAAAATTTCATTAAGAAAATTCTATTGAGAAAAATGAGGAGAGGCGCACAAGACAAAATCTCACCTGTTCAATATTAATCTCATTTTGTTTGTCATTGTTGTTTGGACTTAAATTTGCGGCACCATTATTATTGACAGTCATGTCTTCCTCTTGACAAGGAATGGACAGTTTGGGTGTACTAGAGGAATTTCGGCTACCATAAAAACTGGAATCATCATCTGATTGGTAACCATCATACCACACATAGGGCTCACTGCTTTCTAGAAAAGACACAAAGTGCTAATTTAAAGACTTTATGCTTAAGATTTTTTTCATTTGGGTGTGAAGAATCATTCTGCTTTAATAGCACATAATTTCCTGTATATTTGGGGTTGGAAGGCTCAGCTTGACCCACTTCCCCAACTATAGCAGGAAATGAAATACTAATTTTTTTGTGCTTATTTAATTTTTTTCCTTTCAGAAAATCTGAATCATGTCAATTGAAAGTGTGGAAGTCTTAGATGAAGTTCCTTTAAAAGAAAACTAAAAGAAAATACAGAATGCCATAATTTGGGCTGATGAACAGATCTTGGCAAAAATGACCAAGACACTAGAAATATCCAGGAAGATATCGTGTTCATAATTCCATAAATAGTCGTAGATGCAGAAATTGTCAGCTAAGTGCATATCAAAATGCTTACTCAGAAATACACAATAGATTTTGAAGCCTTTACACTGATTTTCTTTTAACTTTTGAAAAAAGAATTTGTCACCATTAATGAAAGTTGGGGAAAAAGGCATTTTTGATTCCTGACAATCTCCAGAATAACCAAAGAGTTCATGCAGAATACAAATAAGCAAAATAAAATACCTAATTTTCTTTTGTCTTAAAGTACAAATTATTTTGATTTTTCATAATTGGCAAGGATTTACAATTTTCATATTTCCTTCTGTTAGTTATGAGCAAAAAGAGAGAGAAAAAAAAAAAAAAAAAAAAAAAAGTAATTGACATACCAGACCCAGCTTGAATGTTGTCAATATCAATATGTTTGGTTCCAGGTAGAGAAGACCGAGATTTCCAGTACTGTTCATAATTTTGCCCATCTGCTTCCAATTCCCGTATGAAGCGACGAATACCTGTACATAAGATTGATTAAAAAAGATAAATATGGCAACTTTAGAAGGAAAAAAGTTCTAAAGAATGAAAACTACTTCAACAGTCCAAACGTAATTCGCCTTAAAATAAAAGTAATAATAATAATAATAAAATAATAATAATAATAAAATAATAATAATAATAAAATAATAATAATAATAAAATAATAATAATAATAAAATAATAATAATAATAAAATAATAATAATAAAAATAATAAAATAATAATAAAATAATAAATAATAAAATAAATAATAAAATAAATAATAATAAAAAAATAATAAAAATAAATAATAATAAAAAATAATAAAAATAAATAATAATAATAATAATAATAATAATAAAAAAATACATTTGCGAGATTTGAGAGTCAGCTCAGGAGTTTTCATCTTTTGAGCAGAGAAAACCGCCAAACTTTTTTGCAACCCCCATTTCTCCTCTTGGGGAATGTTGCAATCTTGCAAGCAAGTCAATGTGCAGTGAGTTTCATTGAAAGTAGGCGCTCCAAATAATGTGACTTTGTGCCAACATAGCAAATACATTCTGCTTTATATAGACACCTCAGCATACAAATTTCAATGTTATATATCTGATAAAAATATAGCTTTAAGATTTATAATTATGGGTTAAAGGGATAGAGTGTATGGACACAGCTCACTCCCACCCCCATAATCTTACATGCAAACTATTTTTTGTATCTTTATTATGGATGTTTTTATTGACATGGTCACAATGAATTTGGCTGAACTATTTTCAGGTGTATTGTTTGGCAGATATAAGATACACCCTTGTGCAAATTAATTGAAACAAAATGAATAATTCCGTTATTTACTTTTTGTATTTTTCCAATGAAACATGACCCAGTTCACATATTAGTTAGTACTTAATATGTCCATTCCACAAAGTCTTTCCTTGCAAACTAACCCTAGATTCTCGATTGGATTTAAATCATGAGAGTCTCCAAGCCAGTCGATATTACTTTGATTTGCTCACTGGTAAGGCTTGCTAGTGTGTTCATGTAGTGTTACAGTTTTTGTATGCTTCTTTAGAGTAACATTCATTGCAGACAATGGCTGTAGGACAACTAATTGACAGTCGGGACAATAGCGTCTAGGCATGATAAAAATCTGATGCGATCACGGATGATGCAATATTTTTCAAGGACAAACAAATTTCATCATTTACCCCGAAAATAGATTCATATTACTGCACACCATTGCAAATAACCCAATCTGAGGAAAAAATAGAAGTCGATTACACCCTGTCACTACAGTGGGTCTAAAACTGAATGCATAGTGAAAGAAAGGAAACTAAATCAGTGGTTTCAATTAATTTACACAAGGGTGTATCTGGATTGTGTTATTTCATCCCTATTATGCCAGGTTATTTTTGTTCCTGCTGAACCATTGTGGTACTAACTGATCCAGGGATTAAACTGACTACTAAGTAACAATGCGATTTAACCAACTCCCATATTATCAAATTTTGCTGATATTTTGTTGTGACAGGTTTGTACTGGTTGTTGATAATTTTAAAGGAAAAAAAAAGAAAAAAAAAGAAAGATGACTAATTGTTAATATAATTTTATTATTTCTTTCATCTTGGTTGTTATAGATGCTATTAGAGACAATTTGCCTATAAAAATACAAAAACATTTGTTAACATATCAATGAAATAGAAAACAAAAAGATATATAAATCCCAAAGTGTATGGCTTATCAACTTACCAATTGTGTGGGTTCTGCAAACTGAGAGAAGCACGAAACCCACAAGACAATTCCAAATTAAAGCCAGAAAACCAAACCCAGTTTTGCCAATCATGTTGACAAGACAAATGGCATTATTAATGCGGATCTGTTTACATGGGTGCATGTTAAACTGGATGTACGTGTGGTAGATATTGACAGAGACAAGACCAAGGCAGAGGATGAATAGTAGACCAGCAGAGCTCACTTTAAAAATTGTCCGAGAATGCATCCGCACATTTTCACCAAAATTCTTATTGCTAATCAGACGAGCAGCAAGGTTGTTGGCATATACACCTGCAAATGGTAATTCTTAGACATTAGATAGCTTAGCATATTTTGACAAGAAACTTCCAGACAACAAAAATGTAATTTATAAAAAAAAATTAAAAAAAAAAAAAAGTGAAATAAGAGAACAGTAAATATGTTCATTTTATAATCTAGTCAAATTGAAGGTTTTTTTTTTTGTTAACTCTTTTCCCCCGCCATCCAAATAGATCATATATATATATATATATATATATATAGGAAAAGTTGAAAATGCAACTGGAGTCTTTCAGAATATTTAGAGTAACTTTAATGGTTTCACAGTTCTATGATTTTTCAAAAATTAAATAGAGATGAACAGACGTGTCGCCATGAGAACGATCAGTTTCATTTCCATTTCATACAAGTGCTTTTTAAGTTGGCAAATGAAACCCAGTTGAAGGCTGAAAGGACTTAATACAAATACCTACATTTTATTTGAAAATTTTATGTGAAAACATTAGGTCATAAGTAAGAAAATTGATTTAAAACAAAATTATATTATTTTTGTTAATTTTCAATTAAATAACCTTGAAGAGGAAAAAAAAAAAAAAAAAAAAAAAAAAAATAGAAAAATGAAATAAAACCAATAAAATAAAGAAAAAATTCACTCCTTACCCCCAATGATCTTTTCATGTCACATTTTATGACCCCACTTTCAGAAAGGACAGAATATTTCAATTTTTTCTGTAAGATTGTTCAGATGTGTTTTCAGCAGCCCTACTCATGAAGTAGAGATTTGATTGCCTTTAGCTTGACCATCTTTACCATTCTTATCCTTACTTTCCATAAACGATTTCTGAACCAAAAATGGAACCAGACATACTAAGACACATTTAACTTCCTTTCAATACAGTAAACATAAAAGAAATAAACGTCTGTAGCAGAAACTCAAGTTTTCTGTATGATTCTATCGTTGTTTATATTGAATGCACATCTGCACTTATAAAAACCTAAACAGCCCCCCCCCAAAAAAACACACACAAAACCCAGACATTAACAGTTGTTACATTTTTTTTTGTGTATTATAAATTGAAAAATAAAAATGCAAGAGAGAATTTTCAAAATGCTAATAACAAACATGGAAAATTTAGTCATGTGAGGTCACTAATTGCAAATTAAAGTTTAGTTTGTTTTTTTTTTTAATTTTTATTATAAAGACTTTAAACTTGGCTGCCAATGGACAAGGCTTTACAAACACATATTGTCAATGTAGACTGTTCTGCAACAAGCTTTGTAAGGGAAGATTTCATGAATTTTTCTATATTTTTGGAAATTCCTTGTGAATATTCAGTCATCTTAAACCAACTGGTTTTAAAATGCACATGCAACCCAAAAGCCCATGTCTGATCAAAAGAATGTTTACCAAAAATACAACAGCATTTTGAGACTCAAGAGCAGATTTCCAAAACTTTCTGTAAGATTGATTTTGAAAATGTCTGAATCCAGAGTTGTCAGCCATCATAAAGATCTGTGGTAAGTACAAAATAATCTCTTTACCCACTCCCTTCAAATTCAGGCTAGCAGATGAAAAAGATGGAAGGAAATTTGAAAGTCTATGTGACATTTTCTTTGAACCAATGAAAACCCAGCCTCGCCCCTTCATTTCTACAGAGTTTCAAAGCAGAAGTTGATGGCCATTTACTGAGATGGTTACTATAGACAAATTCACTCAAGGAATTCCCACCAAAGTAGCTTCATGGGAGAATAAGTCACAGGCAGAGTAGGGTTCACTGGTTAGCTGCCAAGTTACACATCAATGTTACATAACCAGCTCTAGATTTAATATTAAAGTTTTTTTTTTTGTTGTTTTCCACCCCACTCAAGAATTTAATATACTAGCCCATTGCAGTAACAATGGAGCGTGTCCCTATGTACATTCACACACAATGACAACCTAAAAAATAATTGACCTTCATACAATATTGACAGATAAGAGCCAATTAAACAAAAAGACAAGTTATTGATCCAGTCTTAAAAATAGATTATTTTTAGTCTGACTTTCCCCAGGTGTGCCAAAGTAAACAAAATTGTATAAATGCTTCTTTTAGGATTACCAAACTCACTGTGCAAACAAGAACACCTGAAGAAAAACTTCAGGAAACCTTTAGAAAAAAAAAAAAAAAAACAAATTGGCATTTGTAAACTCATGAAAACATCAAAATAGTGAAAAAAGTAAAGTTGCTTTCACTAGATTTCAGCTAAATATAATAAGTGTTAAATGTTAATATTTTAACAGATTTTTTTGTTACCTTCTGAAAGAATTGTACAATTAATAGCAATATTTCAATATATTATCAGTGTCAAAACAAAAAGGACATTAAAAGTCAGTGAGGAATTGTTAATTACATTTTGGCTAATCTATTCAAACCAGGTTTTTAGTTTTATTTGATGCATTGACATCACCAATCAAGAAAGGGATAAAAAAAAAAAAAAAAAAAAATTTTTAAAAATTTTAAAAGTTTCTCCCAAAACATTCCATCAAACTAGAAACAAAAAAATATGTTGCTGTCAACTGAATAGAAGTCAAGATTTTTCAATTACTCATTTCTTTAACATTCAAGTTTTCTTTAAAAAAAAAAAAAAAAAAAAAAAATTCTATTATAATTTTCTATTATAAATGACTGAAACAATTGAACTAGTTTAACTAATTTTTGTTATATAGTAGTGTGGAGCAAGTAGCCATGGGAAAATGGAAAAGTAACAGAATTGTCCAACAAACAGAAGTGACAAAGTTTGCCATAAGCAATAACAAGGAAAAGAAAAAAACAGGACAAAAAATAAAGCAAGCAAACAATATATGCAATGCAAAGCAACAGTAATATGGCAAAAAGTTCAAACTAAGAATTGGTGTTGACACACAAAAGCATGTTTAAACAAGCAAATAGACCAGGACTGAGATTATTTACATTAGCCACCCACACAAGGCAAATTTTAGCACAAGACCATATTTATATGGGGCGATTCCGAGCCTGTAGGCCTGGCCAAAAATTCCCCGTAGACCCTGCATACACGAGTCAAGTTTGTCTACCTTCCCAGACACGACTGCCTTTTGGCATAACCTTGCCTGGGTTCCTCTCTTCCTTCAGGCATAGAGCTTGACAAACCAGCCAAGTCAAGGACAGTCAAATTACAACAGACATTAGAACCAGAAGCCTTGGACAATCTGTCAGGGTCCTGACAGCCAACAGATTTTTGTCCAGTCTGTATTTAAGGAAACTAGATTTTAAAAAGATGTCTACTGAAGCTAGCCAGCTTGAATGTAAGGAGATTGAGATATTGGGGTAAAGCTGCCTGTCTGTTTTGTGATCTCTTGTCCTTTGGGGGTAGATGTGGCTGCGATCCAGGAGACACACTTTGTGATGTTGATGCTTGTGTACTATCTAGCAACTTTGTTGTCTATTCAGCATATGGAAATCAGCTGGCCAGAGGAGTTTCCTTGTTAGTAATACATTCCTTTGGTGCAAGGGTGGGCCTTGTCCATGTCGACACAAGGAGCTGGTTGACCATGGCCAATATTGCCATGAGCAGCAGTTCATCTTGGGTCGTTGTGGTTTATGTGCCCAACGACCAGATGGAGAGCGTCAACCTTTTCCGTCAGTTGGGACTGTTACTGGCCGATTTGTCATGCTTAGCTTTAATGGGGGACTAGAATGCCATCCTGGAACCCAAGATAGACAGGGGCAGGAAGCTAGCAAGAGGTCATTGGGTGATTGTAGCTTGGTTGATCTGATCGACAAGCCCAAACTCGTCAAGAGATACCAGCTTGATCATCTGGAGCAGGAGATGTGGACTCTTAAGTGGCTGTCACTCCAGGTAGCTAGCTGCCTGGATAGAATGTTAATTAGACGAGTCAATCTAAATTTGCTAGATTGTCCCACCAGTTAGACTATTCAGACCATAGACTCGTCTGTGCCTGGATGGTGTTAGGTGTTTAGCCTTGAATGGCTTGACACTGGAAGTTCAATCTGTCTTTACTGGACAGGCAGGACTTCTGGCAACAGCTGACTAGATTAGTGCAGCAGGAACTAGTGGGGACAGTTATTAAGAATAAGTAGTGGGAGAGGCTTAAGGATAGGATTAGGTCTTCCACCACCAAATATAGCCAACAACTCGCCTTGTATAAAGGCTAAAACAGTGACAACTCTAGAGGATAGTCTGTTTGAGGTGGAGAGTGGGGGGATTCCATAGAGATAGTACTAGTTAGACAGGCTCAGGAGTGTGAGGCTAGCAAGTGCTACCAGGGTCTGGTAATTAGACAAGTTAAACAAGCTGTCTAATGAAGTTGTGAATATAGGCATAGAATTGCATAAGGAAGAGATCTGTTGAGGCTCCGATTGATACATTCAGTCAATACCTCGGAGGGACGTACTCTGAGGTTGACCAAGGGCATGTACAGGAATTAAACAGAGTTAAATATTTTGTCCAAGATCTTGACAGAGCATTTGCGGTCAGTTGTTACAAGTTTGTTGGGACCAGAGTGCTGTGAGGGGATGAATAATTCAATGCAACCTGCATCTGGTCTGCATGATCATAGAGGGTGTAGAAGACAAGGAAGCCACACTGATCAATTTAGATCAGTCCAAGGTATTCGATAGGGTTGACCATTTGTACCTGGCTGCTGTCCTGCAGGCTGCCAGATTCAAACCAGACTTCTGCAAGTGGATCAGCTTCCTGTATCGCTCCCCCAGGTGCTGTAGTACAGGTAAACAGGAAGTGGTCAAGTGCTTTTGCACTGTCTCAGTCAGTTCGTTAGGGCTGTCTTACTGTCTTATTTTATGCTTTGGTATTGGAGCCCCTTCCTTGGTTTTGTGACCTTTCATGGCCTCGTAAGCTATTGTATCGTGAGGGGTTTGTGACAGACTTGTGGCCTGCTCGGCTTGTCAGCATCAGAGTTGCATTCTTTCTTGTCTTGGGCACCAGAAGCAGACTATCTCAGCAACCCTGAGTTTTGCTTATCTGCCCAGTGTGACCTCATGCTAAAAGAAATGGTTTATGCATGCCTTATAACATTGTCGTCATGTGCGGCCTATTCTGGAGTTAACAGCTCATACTGAACCCAAACATCTAGTTTTCATTGATCTTGCATATGCATTCAATAATTTGTTGCCCCTATATTCTGGGGTGAGATGAATGTTTCTCATGTTGCTAACCGTGACAAGAATGGCGATGTGGACATTGTGAATAGTGGAAATCTTGCGATACAAATATCGTTCTCATCCCAATCTTGTTGGATTCTTTGGGCATCATCTAAAAATGAGAATCAGACCTGATAAAAAGCAAAAAAGGTGGGTGAAAGTGGCGAGCTTGGTTCAAGTGAACAGAGCCAGCCTTGATTTTTTTTTTTTTCTAAGTCCTCTTTAGGGGCGGTTACCTGATGAATCCTCCCCTGCATTCTCTTTTGTTATGAAACATGTTGAGATTTCCAGTTTGTACCCCACTTTTTTTTTTCTTTTGATTTTTCCACTACAAGTTTTTTTTGTCCTTCCCTTTCCTCTAGGGAGAAAGCTTCTTGATTCTGCAGAATACAGTGACTGCTCTTTTTTTTTTGTCAGGTGGATTGGCCCTGACTAACATTTTGTTTATACTTTGATGTGCTATTTTTAGTCCGTTTCTTCCCCCCTCCCCCAGTTCATCCCCTCCATCATTTCATGTATTTAATTTTACAAGAAAAAAAAAAAAAAAAAAAAAATTTGTATATGAAGAAGTATTGGGATTTTTGTAGGTGCCCTGTGAAGATGTGGTATATGCTGGCTTGAATAGCGATGAAGGAGTTTTTATGGTTAATGAGCAAATTGTAATGGATGAATGAATGACAAGTCATTAGCTAGGTCTAAAAACTGAGGATTTGAATTCTAAGAGTGCATTCTGTTTCTCCCAATAAAATTTTTTAAAAGTCATCTAGAGCTCGCTACAAGTAGGGAGCATTTTGTTCAAGTTCAGATTGAAAAATTCAAGCATTTAAATCTTTATTCCACATTAAATTAATATATAAAAAAAAAAAAAAAAAAAAAAGTTAAATAATTTAAACATTTCATGTGAATTCCAATTAATTACTACAGACTTTATTTACAACTCCAATCCCCATTACCAATTGCATAACATTCATGCTATTTACTAAGATGAGGACAAGGCCATGCAACAAAGCGATGATGCCGACAGATTTTTATCAGTAAAAAAAAGTTGGCATCAAGTTAACATTTCTCAGTCTGTTATCAAAGAGTTATTAAAAGACGACAAGCATTAACATGATTATCAACATTTGAAACAATGGCAATAGAACAGGCCATTTAAATAGCATTAACAATTACAAAAAAATCAATAAGTCTATGCATAAACATTATTGAAATGATTGTATTGATTATCTTTGTAAATAGCAAGAAGTAGACAACTTCATCGACTAAATGCGGCATCGTAATTTATGACATGGGAATTGAGATTTCTCCCATACCATTTCAAGCAAATGTCAGTCATTAAAAAATCAAAAAGACCAATTTATATTAAACTGTATTCTATTGTCATTAGAAAATTAGTTGTATTATACAAGATAGTATATTAAAACAGCACAAAAATTGAACACTTTCCACTTATATATATATATATAAAAAGATACACATGTGCTGGTTTACAAAAATTCATCATACAAGAGTTGGAAAGATAAGAACACAATTTGATAGTTATTCACAAGTCCTTCCCCATCTTTTGAACAGGAGAAGAGGTTGATCCCTGGTTTCTGGACAAAGATCTTGTTTCCAGTTCTTTCTAATGTTTTGCTATTCTTTCACTCCCAGTAATGCATGACATTATCACCTGTAAGAATGCTAATAATTTGAAGAAATAAAATTTAAATTAAACCAAAAGTGAATACAAAGAACGAAGTAGGTAGTAGATAGATTAAAGGACATACTAAAAACAAAAGAAAACTTACTTTTATTGTTTTCTCATTTTGTGAGTGAAGGGTCTCGCTTGAAGATAACACTTATGCCCACTTGGGCATCTGATTAAAATGAGGCCCAATGGGCAATGTGAGGGGAAGTTCAGTTACCGCTGCGAGTTGGCATTTTTTTTTTTGGACAGAGACCTCTAAGTTGCAGATAATAATTTTATGGATACAAGTAGGAGAAGGAGAGAGTGAGGAAATTATTCTATGTCACTTGTTGATGGGGTGGAGAGTGTACGTATCGCTGGCAAAATGAAATCTCGTTGAATACAATATAGAAATCTGAATTGCAAAGAATTCGGTCAGTTGGTAAAATAACAGTTTGGTCAAAGCCATCCCCAAAGTCAAGGAAAGAAATTATAAGTGTCCAAGATGATAAATCTGGAAGATATCAAACTTTTTATGACAAAAAGGACATTTCTGATGATGTGAAGTCGAGACAGATAATTCTAATTAACGAACTCCTGCTAGTCATGCCATCCAGCCATGGGACCCAAAACTGATGAATGAGAGAAGACATACTACACACATTGAGGGGTGTTGGCATAAGTTACAAATAAGAGAAAGCAGGATTAAGTATAGCAGGTCAAGACCCTGCTACCTATACTCTCTGGAGGAAGGATTCACCGAATTTGGACATGCAAATTTCTTCCCAGGACACCATCAGCAGCGAGTTCCAATTGGATATTTGGAAGATCCTGGAACCCTAGATCACATCAGACCCCACCTCGAAGTTAAGCGAGGGTCCATAGAAGCATTCGATCAGAAGGGAATTAGAGTTACAATTAAGGCAGAGACAAGCTTCCATTACACCAAGGGGAGATGATCGCTTCACCGATCCCCCATGAAACTTTCTGCCACAGAACTCATGCCTTGTTCCAGACTATTAGATAAACAAAGCAGAGTACCCTGATGAAATTGCAAAGTGAAAGAATTGAGAGTCTATGTGAGAGATGAGTGCTTTGTCAACAGACTAATTTGCTGACTGAAGTCTGATTAAAAGCTAGAAACCAGACTCCAAATTGAAAACAAAGAAAAGTGTCATGAAATTAGATTATGAGGGAATGGTCATTAGACTGCATGCTTGTAAATTCTTAGACAAAAATGTGTTCTTGTATAAACCTCAGTTATATAAACCATGTTGATCTACACAACTTTTTGTCTTATAAGATCATCTGACCTTAATGACACCAATCCAGTGATATGTGGTAATGATTTGATTCTTGCCTGCTTTGGGATCAAAAAGGCTTGGATCAAAGTGACCAACTCAATGGTGAGCCGCAAGATTCAATCACGAACACACCATTGACTGAGGTTGGAACAGCATTGTCATGTAGCACAAGGACGTCCCAGAGTTATATTTTGCTTGCTTTAAAAAAAAAAAAAAAAAAAAAAAAAAGATTTTGTAAAACCCCAAACAAAAAGACACCCCAAACAAACTCTCCTGAATTTTTACGACTTGTGTTGAAGACATGCAAATGACACTATTACATCATTAGTGATTTTGACACTATTACATCATTAGTGATTTTGACACTATTACATCATTAGTGATTTTGACACTATTACATCATTAGTGATTTTGATTCTTATTGAATGCTCCACAAATCTGGCCTTAAATGTCACATCTTGGCTTAGTGATAATAGCTATTTAAAAAAAAAAAAAAAAAAAAAAAAAAAGAAAAAAAAAAAAGAAAAGAAAGAAAGAAAGAAAGAACCAAACCAAACACTTACCAATTGATACCCAGCCAAATCCAATCACAATTGAAACTAATCCAACAAGGACAGTTGTACGAGTATAATTGCTGCGAACATCAAAGACAATGTACCAAGCTCCAGTAACACTAAACATGAAAGCAAACATTAATGTGGCCATGTGAAGAATTGTTCCAATGATGGGAGTGTCCCCGGGATTTACTTTGATACCCAGGGATCGTGACAGAATCCTCCATGCCCATTGAGGAAATCTCCTGGATTGGTAAATTTGTTTACGACTTTGATTGAATTCCCGGGATGGACAATTAGAAGGGAAATTTGGTTCCAAAGAAGTGTAATACAAGACGGATGCTGTCCGAGTATTTCTGCAATAGAGAAATATACATTTAATCTTTAAACCAGAAGAGTTTCTATGAACAATTGAAATGATGAGGTTTTATGGCTCATCAAGTCCTAAATAGAAGTCATTTAACATATGTAAATAGTAGTTTCTCAAATACCCCCTTCAAAAATTCAAAATGAAGAACATATCAAAAGGGATTGGCTTTTACAGATTTCTATTGACTCTAGAACCATTTGCTCTGGGAAGGGGCCCATCAAAATGGCCTACCCTTGAAAAGAAAATGCAAGGGTCAAAATAGAATTTATGGTCGGGAGGGGGGGGGGAACAAAATAAAACAAATCTGTATTGCAATTTCAGTGAGCCTTAATACAGTAGAAAATGTTCACATTTAAAATTTAGAAAAATATTGATAGGTGCACTCCACAATGGAAAAAAAAAAAAAAAACTTCAAATTCTTGAAGCCCTTTATAAATATGATAAACAATGAGCATAGCAAAGATCTTAAAAATACTTAAATTATAATCAAAAAATTATAATTACATAGATAAAATCATGGACATAATAAATTTAATAGTTAATCTTTAAAGTAATTAATAACAGAATACATTCATACATGTTTAAAATAATTAAAACAGTGCATTTCATGTGTATGTAAAAAAGAGAAAAAAAAAAAAAAAAAAAAAAAAAAGAAATTGAAAAATCACAACTATCAATTAAAATTAATTTGTCTTAGCAATTCACACCAGAAGACGATCTCGCGTGCCAAAGTCCAGTGGATGAAAACATTGGTTGGATACAGTGACTTGACACAGATGAGAGTTCAATAATTTGTGTGTGAAATAAAATAAAAAAAAAAAAAAAAAAAAAAAAAAAAGAAAAAAGAAAACTGAAAGTGGCATGGCATGTGGAACTAGAACAATCTCCACTTATGCATGCATGCATACATACATACATACATGCGAGTAGATGCTTGCTTGGGCACATTTGGGGTTTATTCAACATCCACAGAGCTCACCAGTGATGTATATGATGACCTGTGAATTCATGCTATCAACAGCCCCCAAGGGTTACATCTACCCAATTTCTCTCAAGGATTGGGTCAGCCTGTGGCATGGTTTTCAGGCACCACACACTGGGATTGACCTCTCCAGTCTGATAACATCAAGAAGTCTCCTCCCTGACCCTGTGAACATGCCCATACATATATGTGTGATATATATATATATATATATATATATATATATACACATACATACATACACACACACACACACACACTATCCCTGATATTGGGCACTTTATCCCATAAATATAGCACATCTTAAGACTATATATATATCCTCAAGGGTGGGATTTGGGCATTTTTAGATTTATACTTTTTTTATTAAAGTGTTACAAAATAAATATCCCCTCAGACAGGCAGTCTCCCCCCCCCCTCACACACACACACAAAAACTTTAAGTTACCTAAAATTTTTTACTAAAACAAGTAGTAATATAAAACGTAAACAAAGAGAACATGGAGAAATATTAGTCAAATAGTTTTCTTATAAACCTTAAGAAATAAGAATCCTGGTGATTCTATACTGATCATGACCATTTCCTAATAATTTATTTACCAAACATGGATCTTATAAAACCTTAAATATTAACTTAAAATTTAATAATCCTTCTTAAAAGTGATTATTTGTTCGTGTCGAAATTTATTTAGTGATAAGATTGACAATTTTATAAAATATACTTATCTGATTTGAATTTTCACAATCTAATATACTAGAGTGCGGATGCCAAAGACTAGTAAACCTCCTTCCATAATGCTATAATATTAATTGTAAATAAGCAAATGATTTTATAGGATACAATAAAGTACCTACCAAGCAATACTAGTTTAAAGATTAAGTTTTAAAAAAATTGTTATTCTATTAAACTTTCTCATTTTTCTCTTGTGAAAAAAATAAATTCTAATTAATCATAATCTGAAAATGCAAATTTGTTTAAAACATTCATCTCCAAATATCTTGAGAAATTTAAAAATTTAAGTGAAAGGAATAAAAAAATATTACAATCATAAATACATTTTGATTAGAGGTTTTTAGCATTTAACATTGTCAAATGTCCATTTATTAAAAAGAAAAGTTTACTAAAAGAAAAAAAGTGAACAAATTAGAAACAAACATGGACAAAAATTACCTTTTCAGATTGTTGCGAGAACAACCCAATGGCTTAGCAACCATTACATTGGTAGCCATCTTAGTTATATTTCCAATGGTTATCAAAACCAACAATGACCCGGTCTGTACTAGTTAGAAACACAAATCATAAAATGTGTTTTTATCTAAGACCAAAGTCAAATTTACATATTTCTGTTCATCTTGTAATCTAATGACTATCAAAAATTTAAAGAAAAACCTTTAACAACTCTACAAAAACCTCTCCCTCTCACACCTACACATACAGCTGTTTTGAAGTCTTAATGAAAGCTAATACTATTATTTTTGTGCAAGAGTTCCCAGCATGTTTTCATAAAATACTTTATTCAGTTAAAATATTTGCAGGAGGTGCATGTGGACTTCACAGAAAATGAAATTAGAGAACAAAGTTCAAATTCTGGCTATCATAATTTGTGTTCACTATACATGAATGCCACTGTGAAAAGCATGAAGCCATTTCTTCTTGCCATCCCCATAGATATGGGTAAAATAGCAGAGTAGACTAAGCTGTCTACTCTTAGTTGGGAACCATTCTACTAGATTTAAACTTAAAACATATACAAAGACAACAGGAAACCACAATCTTTCCTAAAAAGTGATTTCTTGTTTTCTCCACGAGTGCAGGTTTTTAAAATCTTTCCTAAGAATAAGAAGGACAATGCAGAGTGTACAAAAATTCAAGAAAGGTGTGGAGTGCTATGAAATTTTTTTTTTTTTTACATTAATAAGACTACTATATATATATATATATATATATATATATATGCAGCAATCCCCCCTTTTATACAGGTGTTATTAAAGACAACTGACAAGGTACTGCAATTAAGCTTTTTATTTTTCTTGTGTTTGTACAAGCATTTTCTTTTCTGGACACAAAGTGTGTAAAAACTGTCCAAGTGTTCTGCATTTCCAAGCACTTTCAACTATACTTTTAGTCATCATCAAGGATGATTTTATTTTTACTTTTTAACTGAATGTATGGATTGTGTGTATGCATCTAGAGTTATAAGGATGTTTTATATGCCAGGTCTGCTCAGCTCATGTTTGGGGCGGGGGGAGGTGAGTGAATATAAAACAATTGTTAGGAAGCTAATCTCACAAGCCATTGCTATTGTAAAGAGAGAGGGGAAAAAAAGATTGCCATTTTGAAATATTGATAGGCTGGTGGGATAAGTGTCTTATATGCCAAGGGAGAGCAGTTTGAAAGTAACTTAATTTATCTTTTTCTCTCCACATCATTCCACCCACCTTATTAAATGGCTATACCATTTCCATTTTTTTTATTTTTTGTGAAAATAAATGGTGAATGGCACCAAATGAATTTACTGCTGCCCTGCTAACCTTCCTCTTCAGCTATCTGTAGCCACACCCTGTATGAAGGGGACAATTCTGATAATGCTGTTTCAGCTACTGCTGAAGACATGGATTTATCAAATTGCCTGGAAAGGTATAGAACCATTTGTGATGATTGCAAGATACAAATTTTTTTTTTTCACCCACAAGCAAAGCAATAAAGCCACTAAGACAAGGGATTACTGAGTGTGAAAGAATGAGAAAAACTTATTAAGGAGAGAAAACAATGAGAGAACACTAAGACAAGATAACAATAGATATTAAATTTAAAATTTTTAAAAATCAACCTTGACTGGGAAGCCAGAAAAGAGCTCCACAAGCAAGAAGAGCAAGAGAAGAAACTTAGCATATAAATTATGTTTACATCTAGCCATTTCAACTGTAAATTGAGGCATTCTTGCTGCCACTCTAGTACTGCACTTAAATTCATGAAGTCTAGGTACCATAGTAAAGTTCATCCAAACAATCAGCATGAAAGTATTTATAGAAAAAGTCACAAGGAAGTTAAATGGTAGGAAAGGGGCTAGAAACAAGATGCCAGGTCAGGACCAGTAACATTGCAGATTCTTTGGATTTCATCAAGAATTTCTGAATATATAGCAGGAAAAATATATTTTTCATGCTATATATTCTCTCTAAATAGAACTGGTAAACAAAATAAACTAAAATTAAATATCAGTCCTAGAAAAGCAGTTATAAAACCCCAAGCAGTGTACTGGCCTCCATCTCTCAGACATTACATCTTCATGAATCATTAGGAAGGCAAGTGCTATTTGACCACACCAACTTTATCCTGCCAAAGCAAAAACATGATATTAATGTTTGATTTACATTAAAACTTGCTACCATAGTTTTGAGCTAACCATATGTCAGGGATTCTCAAAGGTTTAAGTAGGGGAAAATACTTAGTTTCCTTGGAAACTATTTCAAATTAAGAATTTTATCCAGAGTAAGGAATTTCAGTTCATTTAAAAAAAAAAAAAAAAAAAAAAAAAAAAATTATTTTCATTGATCCTTTTTCATATAAAGTATTGTATAATAAAAATGTAAACAAAACTCAAAATAAAAGTTGTTTATTTCCTACTAAATTGGTTATCATTTAACTACAAATAACATAAGTTCTGTTCATTTCAGGATCATCGTTATTGTGTGAATATTAATTAGTATTCAAAGAGCTTTCTAAAAAGATATACAACTTGATCATATTGGAAGATGAAAATGTTAGCATAGAGTGACAAATACCAAAATCTGCCATTTTGAATTTGGCACAACTCGGGCCACAGTCAAAAGTCTACCATTTTGTACTTATCTTGCCATAAGGCAAACAAGAGGTCAAAGTGTTATGGCCAAATTATCTTATTTGGACTTTAAACAAAAAAAAAATAAAAATAAGCTTTTAGATCTATCCAAGTACTTTAAAATGGTATACAAGTTAAAGAAACAGCAACATTGATAGTTAA